AGTCCCTAAGGACCCCAAAGCGCTTTACACTACATTCAGTCATTCACCCATTCACACACACATTCACACACTGGCAATGGCAAGCTACGTTCTAGCCACAGCTGCCCTGGGGCGCACTGACAGAGGCGAGGCTGCCGGACACTGGCGCCACCGGGCCCTCTGACCACCACCAGTAGTAAGTAAGTAGTAAGTGTGAACAATTTCCTGTTGTCTGCTACATGTGCGAAAAGGCAACGACAAACAAAGTGTGAAAACAAACCCGTCCTCTATTTCATTTGATGGCAACTTCCACTACAGTTGTGGAAGAGGGGGAAGCACGAAATTTGACCTGTTTCGGAAAGTAGAGAAAACGAGCCATACGTGGATATTCAGCGTATCGCTGTAGCACAAAGCGTTTGCATGGACAGATCAGCTCCGTTTAGATTTAACCATGTGCGCGTCAAATTACCGTAACTCGTCACTATTTTGGGAAAGAGAGAAAATTTAAATTGAAGCAGAGAGAATGCTGCTTAGGTTTTAAACAGAAGGTCAAAGGAAGTAATGCACAACTGCTGCCAGAGGGTGCTGGTAACGCACCTGGAAGCTATTTGCAAACTGACATCAAACAAAAAAATAGAGCAAGAACACCTTAGCTAGCAGAGGGCGGACTTAGAAAACGAATAGAATAGTTAATGCTAGTTAAATTTTCCTACTCTAATCACTTTGTTTCATGAATACATGCGTTAAAAGCATGACAAGACACAGAATACGTGTTTCTCATACGTCTAATTAGAAAAAGAGCAACAATATGTGAATAAATTCTCCCAAAGCACTTGACGTCCTGCTTAGTCTCCTGCACGTGGCTCTCTCTCATCACCGTCTCCTTCACTGTGGGTATGTCTGCATGAAGCCTCGAGGAACATTAATGTAAAAGTGACCTATGTGTGAATGTCAAATGAAGCCTGCAATGTTACGTATCCCGCTTTGACAGTAGATAGCGTAAGGATAAGCCAAAGAGACTACCAGAGTCTGAACGTCTGCAGACAGCTGTGAGGACGCCACGTTTATGCGATGGTAAAAATTTACACTACAAAGACGCTGAAGACAGCTAGAGGTCGAACCGAGAGCAAACATTCAGTCGTGGCAGCGACTGTGATGGTGAGAGTGGATGTATACAGCAGTGAGCGAGGCGAAGGATGCAAAACGAGGCGAGCAGCGAGAGAAGGGGAAACGACATGAAATGGAAGCTGAACAGTGACACACACAAACACGCACAAAGGTCATGGTTTCACTCGTCACCGGTGGGATTTTTTAAGCTGGATTTGAAAGATTTTAGGAGATCACAGTGCGTAAATGTTGACGTACACGTTGGAGATACTTCGCTAACATTTTTAAAAATGATTTCATGACTGTTAAATTATATCGGCGTTAAAAAAAAATATGAAAAAAAAATGATTCATGTCTGATCTCCAGCCAAATAGTTTCAATTTACAATGAAATTAAAGAGAAAAGCAGCAAATGATACATTTCATGATGGCGGAGCTAGCAGTTATGTGGCGTTTTTTTGGTTAGTTGCACTAGCAGTGGTTCAGTCCCCCCACTTTTTATCTAGAGCACTTCTACAGTTTTTATAAGGAATGCAATGAAATTTCATGCAGTCATGAATCGTGATCACTTTAAGCAGCTACGGTAGCCAACATTTGCCCAAAGGTTGAGCATTCAACACCCTCAACCTGTTGGCAACAACTTTTAATCACAACATGAAAGGGTCGTCTAGTGGGAGGCAACCTGTTTTCAAAGCAGGTCAGACTCGGACTGACTGCATTTACTTTCAGACAGACTGGCAAAGTTTTGCAAATCATTGCTAATTGCACCCTTTGGTTGCAACTCGTCTGCAATATAAGTTTTGCAAAAAGGGACTTGACTCAACTGGTTGCTAACCAGTTGTATTCTGGTTATTTATAAAACTACCGTTGTTGAGTGCCAGTTTCACGTTACAGTTACACTGGCGTCCTGCAGCAGCTACGTCACTATTTATGTGGGAATTTCTGAAGTTCTTTTTCAAATCTCTGAGATGGACAAACTGGACTCTGAATGCAGGAAGTTAGTGCAAAATTAAATGGGAATTTTTGTGTACGCAGACTGTGACAGGTTTGTGATTTTCCATGTAATTTCTAACCTAACCTCATTCAAATGGAAGCTGATAGCATGCAGACTTTCTCTTATTGCCGTATTAACGGCACCAAAGTTGCTTTGAAAGCAGCATCTAGACTGCGAGTGGTCTCAGACCTGGTCCCCATCTCCAAAGCAACCACTTTAAAAGCAACAAGATTGAAAATTTATTGCATGTTGTGGCAATAACTTTTTTTCAGTCCTAAAATATAAATGAAATAAATTTAAAATAGATTACAAGTATAATATACATAATGTTACATAATATTAAGACATTCAATTTAAGATATAGAGTTATATTTCAGATTTTTGTAGAAAAATCTCTCCTTCCCATTGTTAACGCACACTTTGATTATCATCAACATCTAAGCTTTTCCCAAATCTTCATCCAGATGAAAGTGTAACCACTGTTGAGCTCTTAGATCACATAAAAGCAGACACACAAAGGGTCACTGATTGCACACCATGCAGTGTTTTTGGCCGGAGTTGTAGGTCACTTGGATTCAAACTCACTTTCTGGCACGGTTCTGGACGGACTGCTGCTGCTGCTGCTGGACCTGCTGGGAGGGGGCAGGCCTCTTACGGCTGGGCTCCATCACTGGGGAGGGCAGGCCGGGCCGCACCGCTGGGCTCCCTCCGTACGGCGGGCCGGGGGGGCCCATGGGAGCTCCCTGGTGGGGCATTCTCGCTCCAGACGGCATGCCGGGACGCTGGAAGGAAAGAAGAAAGACAGAGAGCATGTATTATATAGAAAAGATTCTGAACGTGTTTTGTAATTCATTTTAAGCAAAAACGAGTCTTTCTAAAAATACAACAAAGACATTGCAGTGTTTGATTCCAGGTGGAGTGAAGGGGGGACTCTTCTTTGAACACGCCTGACAAAAACACGAATTAGAGCTCCAACAAAGAGCTTCACATCAGCTTCTAATCCAGACGCCACAGACCTGACCCAAAACCCAAACAGCACGCTCACAGAAATAAATATTTTGACTTTCTTCCTCTCTTTGGCAACCTTTGATAACCTTTCAACAATCAAACAGCAGCGGCTTTTACGCAATTTATTGACGTCAATTTGCACCATTTCTGTTTGTGTGTGTCTCCATCCTGGGCAGCGAACGTGAAGATCAAACCCAGCTGTGAAGCTTCAACTGCAGCGCCGTCTAATATTGGATTTGTTAGACGGTAACAACAAATACAACAGCGAAAACGTCAGATAACCACAGATCAGTCACCTTAAAAGGAACCTGTTATGCTCATTTACAAATGTTGATTCTTGGACTTTGCTAGAGTAGCTTTGCATGATTCAAAGCTAAAACTAATCCTTCTTTATCTTAAACTGCACATTGGTGCAGCCCATCAGTTCATCCTCTGTGAGCCAACTTTCTTCTGATTGGCTGCCCCTTGCAAACAGAAGGTTTGAAGGTGGGGCTGTGTGCTTGAGATTACCATATTAATAATAACAGGAGGCCGTCTTGACCCCATCTAAGTGCCTAAATGTATCGAGCAGTTGAACAGGTGTAACAAACAAAGTGGCCACGAGCGTATATGACAGCATATACGAAAAACAGAACAAGTCCGCTTTAAGAAAACAACTGATTTCCAGAAAATACCAGAAACGAGAGCAGCTGCAGTGGAAGAATCACCAATATCTTGTTCTTTCCGCCTTATCTTTTCTCCTCTAAACAAAAATCAGGGTTGGCAGCTGGAAATGAGAATGCACAGAGGTTTTTTCACAGCAGTCAAACTCTGTGACATGCACACTGAAGCGCTGCCACACACACACACACACACACACACACACGTATGTCTCCGAAACAATGCAAGCAGTGTCGGAGACCACATTCCCGTTCTGACGCCTGCGAACAACTGGGCACCTCTCACCTGTGCCTGTCACTCCCATGGCAACAGCTGCCTCCCGCCTCGGTTTATTGTCTGAAACAGAACAGGGCGAAAGAAAGCGAGCGAGAAAAGAAAACGCCTGACTTCATCCAGACCTCTGACTGTCTGTGAAGGGCTCCACCAGAACACGTCCACAGAGAATAACCAGTCCTTTAATTAAAAATTCTATTAATTGAAGTCATCAGAGAGAAAGAGCGGAAGAGGAAGACGGATGCTGGAATGGAAAATATCACAGCAGCAGCATTTCTAATAGCCGGGAGATGCTTTTCTTTATCTTTTTGATGCTTTTATTTATGTGCGTGCGCTAAAGCCACCATAGGAATAAAAGCAGTAGTTCCTCTAATGGCCATATGAGGCTTGCTCCAA